AGAGAGAGAGAGAGAGAGCGAGGGAAGTTAGACAGTGAGAGATGAAGTCTTTTTTTATCTCATTGTATTTTTTTAGCTGACTGTGAGAACCACAGCTGGCCAACAGAGGTCAGGTCAACGTGCAGCTTCTCTGACAACCGACTGAACCGTGCTGATCATCGGTGAAATCCAATCAACTTGACTTTAGTGCTTGTGCAAAATTAAAAAAATAGAAATGAACTGCTAAAAGAAAGAAGTGAAGAAACGGGAGACGACACATTCTACTGTTAAATAATAATAATAATAATAATAAAAAGAGGATTGTTACCACACGGAAAAAGGAGGACAGTGGAAAAAGAAGGAGTAAAATGTTAAGTACTGCTGTGAAGTACACTGGGTTAAAAACTGAGTACAGGTAAGAGGAGAGGCAACTGGTCATGAAATAAACACCACCATCATCATCATCATCATCATCACTGTAGGTCTGCAGTGATTGTTGCTGCAATGAAAGTGTATTTACAGTCAGATGCTGCACACCCTGTCACAGGATGCGGTTAATGACGAAAACAGACTAAAAATAAAAGAGGAAAACACAACAGTAAAGCAGCTGTCCCTTCACAAAAATCTCTTTACATCACATTAAAAATTAGCACTGCTGTCAGCTGTGTGTACAGTATAGCTTCTTTATAGATATTTATATATATATATTTATATATTTTCATGTATAATATATGGGTCATTACTGTGTACACAAACATGAACTTGTCTCATTGTAGCTAGCCTCTGCCTTTGGCAAGATTACTTACAACTCTTCTGTTAAGATTCCAAAGCTATTTAAAATATACTTAATGCATAAAAATAAAGATTTTGGCATCGTCTCCCCCTCCTTCTTCTGATTGGAAAGTTATTTTGATGAGAACTTCTCAATTGGAAGCCGAGTTCTCTCAGTGCTGCAGTTCTTCTGCCAGGGTTTAGGGAAGGAGGGAGGGTTTAGTTCTGGACAACAGGGGGCGCCAGGAGTTTAACTGGGGGGGGGTTGGGTCAGAAAAGCAAAAGGAATGAAAAACCTAGGTGGGTGGGACCAATGTTGGTTGGAGGGAGAACATGTTGAGACGAGGTGTGTGGATGACCTGGAGCTCCACGGCACTAACACAACGACAGAGATGATGCTAATGAAACGCTCGGGGAGCAGCACCCTGGTTAACAGCCGTCTGTTGTCTTTCTTTTTTTTTCTTTAACTCCTCCCCGGTGACTCCCCCCTGTGGACTCTCCACAGTCTGTCAGTTCTTTTTTAGCCCTGCCTGGCTTTTTTCCACAGACACTGAAATGAAGAGCGGCGGGGGTGGGGAGGGGAGGGGAGTGGTCCACCTCCCCTCTGTGTTCCTGCGCTCATTCCTCATCCTCCATCACTCTCTCGCGTCTCAGAACACTTTCTTCAGAGCTGAATCTCAAAGGTCTTATGCAGCTCAGTAGAGAAGGGATTTGTGGGCGAGGGTGTGGTGCGCTGGCGTGAGCGACCCTCTAGCGCTGCCCACTGGGCCTCGAAGGCATCTTCCTGCTGCTGAGGAGCAGCAGGAGGAGGAGCAGGCTGTGACAGTGCGGAGGATGAAGTGAGCTGGGCTGTGGCAGCCCAGTTGTCTGCACCGTTGAAGGTCGCACTACCGTTGGATGACTGGAGGTGAGTGGGGTTCATGGGGGTGGTGGTCTGGGGGGGCTTGATGAAGGGACTGATGTTGCCAATAGGTGGGGCTTCGTGCTGGGTGGTCACTGTGGTCGTAGAGGCAGGAATGGAGAACGGCTGCGTCTGTGCTGCCGAGCCAAATGCGTTAGCCACCATCTGTGACGGAGTGATGCCAAACACAGGGCCAGTGGGCTGAGGGAAGGACAGCCCGTTGGACATGGGGTAGGAGACCGGAGGCTGAGCCTGGAAGCCCATCTGACGTGGGGGCAAGATAGGCACAGCAGTGGGCAGAGTGGGCATGAAGGGGACAGAAGGAACTGATGCCACGGGAATGGGCATAGGAGCAGCAAACGGCTGGGTTGGAGGCGAGGCCGCCACCATCATGGGGTTGGGCTGTGGCACTCGGACAGACTTGGTGACTTCTTCCAACCATCGGTCGGCTTCTGACGGTGTGCGTTTATGAGAAGGCATGACCGGAGAGGAGGAGGGCGGGACGACAATCACAGGATTAGCTGAGGACCAATCACCTCCTGTGGGCAACAAATACACACAACTGTTAAACACAACGTAACTGTCAACGTTTACATCAACCTGAATCTAAAGTGTATACATTATTATACAGTTAGTTATTTCTCAGATATAAATACAGGCCATATTATGTGGAGAAAATATTAACATTAATAAATCAATATAAATAATAACAATAAATACATAACACAAATAATAATGTTTTTAAACATTAACAATTAACATCACATCTTATCACAACACCATAAAAGGACAACTAAGATTTGATAAAGCAGAGAGGAGCAGATTTCACATCTTCATCGACCTAACTGTGGTCAACTGATTTAAAGGGACTAAAACTAAACTGAAATTCAAACAGTTCTATTGTCAACACCGGTGCACACTCGGACTGGGCCTTTGCAGCTCATCATATGGTCGGATGACCTCATGATGTCCCCAGTGCATGCTGGGACACCGGGCTGACTCTTACCTGGTTGTGCTGAGGCTGGGGCAGCTGCTGGAGTCTTAGCCCAGGGGTTAGTTTCTCGTGCAGGCAGAGCAGGGGGCATGACTGGGGGGTTAGCAGGAGCAGGAGGAGCAGGAGGAACAGCAGGAGGAGCAGCAGCAGCAGCCACAGCAGCAGCATTGACAGTAAATGCAGTGGCTGAGCCGTTCACTACAGCAGATAAAAGACAGATGCTAGTACCAGGCAGACGTACGTGTGTGTGTGTGTGTCAGGAGAGGGTAGACATGCACAGTGTAACAGTGCACTTAATTAACACTCTTCACAAGTGTTAATTACACACATTAAAATATGGATATAGTTAGGACAAAATATGAGCATGCATGAAATGTCATCTAAATGTGTTCACTCCCCACAAGTCTCTCACATATTCAGGACTGACGCCAAAAACATGACCTAAGACCACGATCTGCTGGAAACGACCTGGTCTGGACACATGCTGTCAAAGCTATGGATTAGTCGGAGTGCAATTCATCTGAAAAGTGCTTATGCAATGTTTGTGAGTGGCCAGATATTAGTCATGCGTTTCACTATAGGTAAGATGATGCTTAAACACAGATCAGGTAACACGTTTTATATATTTATATCAAAGAAAGGTCAGAAACATGATGATGTCCTCCTACAGATTGTCTCTGAATATTCTGACTTAGACATTTGAGCTCTGGTGTTTTAATAAATCCAGTGACTAAATGTCAGAAAATAAGAAAATAAATGTAAGGTGGAGCTCTACAGATCAATAACAACAACTGTGATACTGACTGAAGAGCAGATGGTTCTGAACAGTTCTAGTCCAGTTTTACCTGGTGCTATAGGGGACTGTGGGGATGAGGCGGGTTTGGGCATTGGTGCAGAGGTGAAGGGATCCTCTGGAGGTCCACTGAACGCTGTAGTGATCTGAGTGCACAGGGAACTGATGCTGTCCCCTTCACCTTCCATCTCCGGTACTACAAGTGGAGAAAAAGAAAGATTATACAACATCGTCACTGTATTCCTACGGTAATTAAAAAAGAGCTCTTTGTTGATACATATTCTAAGACCTGTGGTGCGGACTCTGTGCCTTCACCTGTATTTTTCATGGGGAAGTCCGACTTGCGCTGCATGGTGGAGGGCAGCTCGTTCATGCGCAGAGACAGCTGTCGTTTGAAGGGAGACGTCTTCTGACTGAGGGCAGGGAAGCCTCTGAAGGAGCCCTGTCTGGCCAGAGCCTCTGGTGGTGCATGTCTGCGAGGTATGGCCTGAGGGCCCAGCGTGGACATGGACAGGGGAGGGGAGGACGAGGGAGAGGATGACCCCCCCGTCTGGTGTGCTGAAGAGTTTGTCCCACTAATGGTCGAGTTCCCAGCAGCCTTCACGTCCGGCTCTGCTGATTGACAGGAGCAACGAGCCAGGGTTAGCAAGCGGACAGTTTTTGTTTCACGGTATATCTGCAGGACGGTGTGAAGGAGGAAGTGAAATCACACTGAATTAGGAGATTCCCACACCTTTTTTAGCATCCTGTAACTGCCTCATGTGTTCTTCCCTTTCTGCTGCCTCAGTTGCCGTGGTAACCCGAAAAGAACCCTCTCGGGTAAAAGTGGTTCTGTTGGCATCAAAGGTCGCCGTGACCCCGCACTCCTTTTCTCGTTTCTGCTTTCGCTCCAGGCAGGCAGCAAACGCACAGCCTACAGCGTGACTGAGACGCTCCCCCTGAGGGTGAGACCACAACACCACAGAGTGAACTTCGTTAAATATGAGGAACTCATTACAGCGTCTTGCGCTCAGATAATTAGCAATATCCTACAACTATTGCTCAATTAAATACCACATGTTCTTCATTATCTACATGAATAACTTAAAAGGGAGAACAATGAGTCATCATTTAAATCACAATACAGTACTGATCAAATATAGGCTTTGATTTATATTTAATGATTTTATTCAGCTTTTTTCCGTTTACAAATTTACTTATAAAAAAAATTGTACTATATTGATCCCATATTTAGGAAATTGTTGTGTTAGCAGCTGATATGCTGCATGCATGTGGTTCCTCTGGGAATTGAACCCAGGAATCTCTGCTCTCAATGAGCAGAGATTGACAATTTCTTTTTCTTAAAGCAACTTTCCTAAAACTAAGGGTGTTAAAGTTAATTTTACTCTTAAACACTGTAAATGTTAACATTGAGTCTGTCTAGTGCTGGGGTTGAGGCTGCAGAGTGAATCTCACCGAATCCTTGATGGCCATGAAACAGTGACAGATCCAGCGTCTCGTGGTACCATCCCTGCAGATGTAGGAAAAGGCTCTCTCAAAGTTGCGGTCGGGAGCACAGAACGACACCTTCTCTATTGTCTGGTCTAGGATCAGGTCCTGCAAAGCAGTGAAAAGACAATAAATAAAAGAAATAAAAGCCAAATTAGTTTGTAGTCAGGGAGAAGAGACGTTTTATTTTTTACTATTAGGAAAATTGAAGGGTTGGACCATGAAACTGAAATGCCTGGTGACCAAAGGTTTGACTAGAGCAGCCCAGCCATGTATATTGACCCTGTGGAGCACCTGACGGACAGTTTTGGTGGAAACAGGAGAGTTGAGGTGGACATTCAATCCTGCAGTGAGCAGGGCAGCTGTGATTTTATGTTTTTTGGTTAGACATCCCTTTCAGACAGCTTCCTCTTGCGTCCTGTTGGATGTGGCTCGTCGTTCTTGGTGGTTTGCTGACATTACCCTGGATACCGTGGCTTCTGATACATCACAGAGACTTGCTGTCTTGGTCACAGATGCACCAACAATTTGTCCTCTTTTGAACTCTGACATGTCGCCCATAATGTTGTGTGCGTTGCAATATTTTAAGCAAAACTGTGCTATTACTCTGCTAAATCAATGAAGACTGGCCACCAGGCTGGTCAAATTCAGCCATGAAACCTTCAACTCTAAATTGGCCAGTGTTTCAGTTTCATGGTCCAACCCCTGTACATTTTAAACGTTGGTCAAACTGTTAATGCACCACCACAGTCTAGCAGCAGGGGGCAGTGTGGCCATGAATGTGCAGCTGTTTGCCTAAGTCATGCGGCTGTCATGCAGGTGCACTGACCACATTTTTAGGAGGGAGGCCATTTGGAGGTTAATAAACCGGTCGCTGGTTAAGCTCCATAACAATTATTAACCTGCAGCAGCTCGTCAGCTTCCAGCTGTTCAGCTGCAAAAGCCACAGGTGCTTCCTCCGACAGGGCCCTGCTGTTGATCAGGACCTGAAGTTACTCATTACCTTTGTTTTGTCGTCCACAACACGGAGGCCGTCTGCAGACACCCACAACACCGCCCGCACTGGCTTCTTTCCAGCCTAAAAACACACAACAGGAAGAGGAATGACTTGGGAAACAAATGTGTGCCTTTTGTGCCCTTCCATTTTCACCAAGATTATTTCCCTTTGTATCAATCCCTGGTACATCCGTAACACTCTCATACTCTCACTCACACACAGCACCTGAAAATACTGGAAAAGCACCAGAGGAAACACAGAAGGAAGAGATAAATCAAAGGTGGCTCGTCTCGAGCCCCGTGCCATTCACTGCAACCACATTATAATTGGAGAAACGCAAACACTAGTGTCAGGTTTGGTGCACTGATGCAGTGGACAGTGGTGAGCTCATTGGTTTGAAGAGATAAAACAAATGAAAGAAAAGGTGTTTGTGTGCCCGTAAAACGGAAGTGTTCATTCACACAAGGCTTCATTGTTCCATGGAAAAGAGGCTGAAGGGAGAAAAGGAATGCCTGTTATTACAAAAGAAAATCCACTCATACACACACACACTCTAAAAAACACACACACAAGTGCCGCACCCCAGCCTACAACTCACACACACATGCATCACTGTGTTTGTCTCCAGACAGTTTTCTTCAGTGCATCAATGTCTTTTTTTCCTGTGTGTGTGTGTGTGTGTGTGTGCGTTTCCTCCAGTCTTCAGACAGGATCAAAGGGTGAAGTGTTATGTGAGAGGAAGAAAAAATATGAGACTAATAATAAAGAGAGACACACTCAGACACACAAAACAGCAACTTACTTTTGCAAAGAATCCTTTGAAGAATTTCCTGTCCTGGAGGGTGGGTGAGAGGGATGGAGGAGACGGAGGGAGGAACAAGGCATGAAAATGTTAAGTAGGAAATCTACAAATGGTCTGGAGCCTGAAAGAGGGGGTTGGATTTTCGGGGGGGAGATTGGTGTTTGGTCAAGGTAGAATTGGGTTATGGGTGAGTGAGTCAGTGAGGCCACGGATCAGGAAGCTCCACATGATTCCACACAGAGAGATGTTTTAAAGGGGAAGCTGGTCGTTTTCAACACACAACACTCACAGAGTCACTAGGACACGGACAGGAGCCTGGGATTCTGCTGTGAAAGACTTTAAGACTTGACTTTCTGTCTTTTATTCATAATCAAATCACCATTACCAGTGCTGTGCAGCATGAACTGGTTCCTAAAAAGCATGTCTGATGTCCCGACCTCAGCGTTATAAAGATAAAACCAGCACCACCGATGGAGAGCCAACATCCAGACACATACTGAATCATTAAGAAGCAGCAAAGAGCACACCAAGAAGAGACCCTAACTGAGGTCTGCAGGACTTTCTCTGGCTTCATTCAGACATAAAATTGAATAAATCCATGCAGGACTTTCTCTGGCTTCATTCAGACATAAATCCATGCAGACAGAGTCAGTTTGACTAGTGTGGATGATACTGATGTCTAAAGTTATGTGGCTGACGGTATAAACCTTAGGTTTACACTAGTTTTCATAATAACTCATTCAATACTCACACCAGGATCTCATGATCACATTGTTCATGTTGCATTGCACAGGTAAGGATATTTTGAGCTTATACGTGTGAACTGGTTCAAAAGTCCTCATTAGCTCTGACTGAGCTAACATCAGGACAATACTCTAATACGCTCCTGCCGTACTTATCGTTCTTGTTGACCTTGGGAAAAAAGTTTGATGTGTTGAAAAAGGCCATTTTTCTCCTTTAGGAGTGCTACAGTGTTCATCACTGCCTTTATGTTAGTTCTACCTACACTGGAAACCATCCCTGAGAGCAGGGACTGGAAAATGTACTTTGCAACTGAAAGACAAAAAAAAAAAAATTCTTCAACTGGTTGCATCTCCTCCAACTCCCCAGACCAAGACGTCGTCACTCATGCTCAGCAGACTGGAACACATATCCACACACTGGATATGTCGGTTCAACCAGTCAAAGTCAGGGGTCAGAGTCAGGGGTCAAGTTAAGGTCACCACAACCGCATAAAGATACCAAAACCCAGCCTCGTACTAATTCCCCTCCCCGTCACTGAGCGTTCTTCTCCTCTCTGAGCTGTGAGAAGGAGTGGCGCTCTGCTCCTGTTACACTGCTGTGGTGGAGACAGTACTCAGAGCTCCATGTTAATGCATGATTTAGCCTGTTAACTTGTGCTGGAGATTGATTTGGAATGAGTCATGAGAATGAAATTGTGCTTCTTTTCCTAAGACACACACAAACATGCAGATTAAGTACAACTAGGATTAGTTCGCAAGGTGGTTAGAAGGAAAATGTGGAGAGATCATTTTGACTAGAATTGAAGGGCAGAGTGGGAGGAGGAGGGGGAGGAGGGCATTTCTCTGCAAATTAAAACCTGCTTAAAAACAAGAGTAAACAAGTATGACAAAACCAACAAAAAAGCACAATGTTACCAGTTTTAAATGTGTGAAATGATGTGATGAAACTACAGAGTGGGAGAAGCCTTCTGGGCACAGAGAGAAGAGCTCAGTCTGGAAAGATCAAGGTGAAGTCAGGAAGATAACAATAAAAAAAACGTAAATCAAGAAATATGACTTACTACGGCTCGGATTGACAAAAAAAAAAAACAACAACACAACTTTCGGTAGCACTACAACACCAGAGGTTTTTTTTTTTTTACTTATCGCACTACAACACCAGAGGTTTTTTTTTTACTTATTAATGACATCACACATCTTGTGAAACATCAATAACCTGCCCCATGTTGTGCAATAGGTCACTCCTTCTATAATTCTCTTCAGGCATTTTACTGTAACACAGAGTTTTACAGTAATTAGATTCACAACCAGTGCACTGCATTACTAATGAACTACATCACTGCCCTGGGGTGAGTTGGACACAAATGTAGCAGATCTTCCGTCATCTCAAACCTGTCCTGAATCCAACATTATCAAATTGGTCTGTGCCTGTTGTCCACTTACAAAAAGTTTAAAAAAAAACAACAATGTATTATTTCCGACATCAAGCTGAAGCCCAGCTGGATGAGGATCATGGGCCGGAAGTGACCCCGGGGTCAGGAGTCTGAGATCCCCAAAGAAGCATGGAAATGATCAGGACCTGATCATAGGTCATAGACCCTGAATGATCCTTCATGTTATTGTCAATTTGGAAGTTTAAAGCAGAAGATTTCATCATGAAGGTTAAAGTTAAAACTTATAGATCCCGCACTGGAAAAATGATTGAGCTCAACGCCTGCAAACATCTCATCGAATGGATTTCAGCACACGTCAGTGATCTGCCCTGAGGGCACTGGGTGTTGATGTATAAATACAATTGAAATCCTTTAGTTAACAACACAGAGGCTGGCCTCACCCACTGTGTACAGGGAAACAATCCCAGTCTCTATACACTCTCAATACGAGCTGACACTTTCTACCTTCTTCATTATGGAATAGACCTACAAACCTAGGGCTCACTCCCAAAGCTTTGGCAGGAAATGACATCCTGATGATAGCATTCAAATGGTGTAGCCTGAAGGTGCATGGTGCCACACTGCAGCAGCCTCCCTTTCCTCTAAGTCACAGGTCACAGTGTTGTAAAAAAAACAAAAAAAAAAACTCTCATTACCCCCAAAGAATTCTGCTGGGACAAACAACGGAGCTGGCTGTAGAGCTGTAGGTTTCATACGCACAATTACACACACAATTACAAACACACACCGTCAGCTAGACCACCAACACATGGGCCCGAGCACGGATCGAATTTATCCCCTTTTTTTTTTAGCCCAGGCAGCAGAAAGGGCACGGCCTCTGGAGTTGTTTTCAATCTGTGCTCGACTGCTGACCGTAACACACCACGCTGCCAGAGGGTGATGCTGATGTGGCTGCTGTCAGGCAGATGTTAGACCATTTTCAGGAAACAGCATCCTGTTCTCAGCCCACATCACATATTAAGTGGCTGCAGGTGTGGGTCTGGTTCCTGACAAATTCAGTTATTAGTTCCTGGAAATGATGTTTAAACTGGAAATGGATTTTGTTTGTTGCATGGCAACTGGAAGCTACAAATAGGCCGAGAAAAGAGGAAGACAAAGTCGGGGTTTACACAGACTACTCCCTAATTTAGGAGCCATTTAAAACAGGCTTGTTCTTATTAAGTCTGGACAGTGCAGCTGTGTTATAGACTGCTCTTCAATTCCTACAGTCTTTTTACAGTCAAATTCGAGGTTTACTGGTAATAAACATTTTCAACAAGAAAACGTTGAAAAAACAAACTTCTAAATAGCTGGTAGACAAAGTTAATTATAATTCCATGCATGGGAGGAGGGTTCAAACTCCAGGTTGTTGCTGAAAAACCTTTATTGCTATGGTTTCTTTGTCTTATTTCAAAATCAAATTGCAAGCTCAGTCTGAGTCGGCAAGTCTAGGAACCAATGCTATAGTTTATATGGCAACGCCATCAGACTTCAGTATAAAGAGTCTAAGGTTCAGAAGATGTGAAAACACAGTGTTCACACAAATAAATAAACATGGATGCTACAAACTGTATCAGTCAACTTGATCCATCGATCCATCAACCAGAGAGCCCCAAGCTCTGGTTCCACTAACTGCAACCCTTCATCTGTGGAAGCCAGGCCGTTCCAGGTGTTTTCTGTCAAACATCTGAGGAGTAACAACATTGTCTGAATGCCACGCCCCCAGCATGGAACACACAGGACCACAGTTTCCATTGGCCTGGACCAGGCAACCAAATGCAGGCACTTACAGGTTGACCCAGTCATAAGGAGGGACCGACCAACCACCTCTGCACTTCATCAAGACTGTAGTAGAACTGCATTATCATCATTATATAAAGTGTGGGGAATCACATTGCCTTCATTCTATTGAGGTTAGTACACAGTCACAGCCATAAATGGAATGGTTCTAACAACTGGAAAAATCATTTCTTTTATGTTCTCGCCTTCTTTTCCTCATTTTTTTCTTCATTTCGCTGCATCCCTGGTCAGAGGACAGAATCAATTCCCGATTTTCCACATTTAAAACCACAATTGATGGAGGCTGCGACCAGTGACACACTCAACACATACAATCAAAATGACTGATTTGACTAATTTAATGTGGGCCCTCTTACTTAAGCTCTGAACAGTTATATTAAACCCATTCTGCCTGACAGCTTCAGTGGCATTATTTCAGTGGAACTGACTGGTTACAGGAAGGTTGATTAGTGAAAGCTCTCCACGCAGTCTGAAGAAAACACTGGTTTTGTTGTTGTTTCTGAAACACATTACAGAGGTAGTTTAAATGAAGTAGCCCATCTCCAAGCCCAAAGCCCAATGAACCATTGCGTCACTCTATGCAAGCAGGTCGTTATTGACACTTCTACAGTGGGTGAAAGCATGCCAGGCAATTCTCGTCTCCCCTGAAATGTACTCAAGCTCAAAAGTAAACTTAATGGAAAGAGAATTAGAATAATGGAACAGTAAGTGCAGAATGACGCAATGCAGCACAGCCCATCTGTTGCTCTGCTCTCCTCAGCCGTGACTCTTAGGATAAATGGAACATTTCTTGATTGCAAAATGTTAAATTACAGATATAAATACCTAATGTTAAGTACATGGAATGGGGCAGAGACTAAATGAGTTACACAATCAAACTGGTCTCAAGATTCGAAACACACCAAGGAAACCTCAGTGAAGAAGAATAAATGAACAGGACGAGACAATCTGCTGCAGTTCACCACCGGTTCTGATAGTTTTCTGGTATTTCCTGAAAGAAGTTCCCTCAGGCAAACAGGTAAAATGATGCATTAAGGCCAGATAGAGGCCACTTCAAGGAAAAGAAATGATGCGTAGAAGTGACATCATGAGATAATTCTAGCTCGTCTTACATTGACGTGGCAGCGGGTGGGGGGTAACGCTGACTTCCTACCCTGCATATACATGCAAATCAATCGAGCCATGGCGTTGTTTGCTGACAACTACTACTACCCGGTGGGTAATGAGGGAGTGAGGACCAAAATGTCATGAGAAAAGGAAAAACACCTTTGCAGGTTGATGAGGGTCAGGCTGTGGGAGGAAGGGGCAGCGCCGTCATCTCTGAGTCTGGTCCAGAAGACTGTGACAGCCTGAGGCTTTGTGTGACCACACCGAGCACCAGTGTGTAAATACTGCAGTGTAAGTGTTATATCTATGGCTTTTCTGACTGACAACCAAATTCTGCTCGAGGATTTTTTTTTTCTCATGTGAAAAAGTGATGTGAGATGTTAGAGTTTAGGTTTCAGTTTGGCCCGTTATGAACTTCTATGTTTTGTGTGTCAGCTCCCACACACAGGAAGTGAAAAGGAGAGAAAAGACTGAGAATGATGGCTTGTACAAGAACCAAGGGGTTTTTTGTTTATTATAAAGGTAAAGCAAACAAACAAAGGCCTTAATAATAAACAAATATATGTGTGTTTGTTCACTAGACTGTCAAATAAAGTTTTATTTTAGCAGAAAAAACTATTATACCATCTGTGAATCGGTTCTCATAAAATATGCATAGGCTCCACTGTAGTGCCATCTACAAAGTGGGCTGGGGGAGTGGGAGTGGGGGGAGGTGGGGGTCAGAGTAGAAAGAATATTGGAACAACTGATCTACAGTATACCAGGCAGTTGGCCTCGACAGTTCACAGAGTGATGAAAAAAGTCCAGTTAAACAAGTAAGCAACACGAGGAGGAGGATATTTTATTTTTATTCATTTTTTTTTATTTTTTTATGAAAATAAAATTTTATCACAGGTGCAGTAAGTCTGAGAAATGAAGAATCTAATTATGCAGAACACGACACCAGAAGAAGTGCCGTTGTCTCAGGATCGGCCTCATTTACCCACGAGACTTTATAACCTGGGTGGAGTCTTGGATAACAACTGACAAAATGACATTGCTACACAGTTACCCCTCCTCCCACATTTGCCCTTCCTTGCTCCCCGAACTGGAATTTGCTCCTTTTTGTGCAACTGCACTTTGGCAGGAAATACTTGCTGGTCTAGTACTCTTACTAAGACTGTACGAGAGGAAAAGAGGAGCTGTCTGGAGCGAATCATGACACCCCTTGGAAGGTTTGTCAGGTCATACTGGGTGGAGACCCTCATTGACAGACCAGCTACAATGAGACTTAAGTGCAGGAATAAACAGTGAAGTAAGTCTACAGAGAACAGAGCAGCACCAACAGTGTTAGAGAAAGTTCGAAGAGTGTTGGTAGCAGAGAGGAAAATCCACAGAGAGAAGATAAAACACAGAACTGATCAAATAGAAACAGGATGCCTGGTATTAAAGCAGCCTTGTTTCTAAATGTCCTTGGAAACTTACCGTTTTAAGTCGCTTTACTGCATCCTCACATATGTGCATCCCCCTGGACTCCTCCACATCCACATGCCCCAGGTACTGTAAGATAGGTAGAGGTGGAATTAGACACAGAAACTAAAACATATGTAAGATAGGTAGAGGTGGAATTAGACAAAGAAAGTACAACATTAAAACTGAGAGAACAATGACTGGTTCTCACATTTAATACTTTTGCTAATGGAGATTCTCTGTGCACGAGGTGGTCGTGAAAAAGTGTTGGAAGTAAAACCTTGGTGGCCAGGGTTCATCTTGTATTTCTTCGAATTTCAGTGAAATATAAAATGTGATAAATGTCTTTTGTGCCTGTGGCTGGAGCCTTTATAGAGATACTGAAAGCAGAGTGCAATTTTAAATTACTGCTCCTTCTATTATGCTGGCACATGGCACTTTTAAAATGAAATTATTTTCCCCTTTTGGGTCAATCCCAGTTCAACAGCTCTCTCTAGGGTGGGAGTTTTTTTTCTAAATTGCAAGAGAGAAACGACTCACTCGTCTTTGCATAGTAAAAAATAGACAAGTGTGAATGCAACAGTAGCTAAGGGACTGGATATAAAGGTAATATCATAAAGCCCACAGAACACGATTCACGTCTGAATCAATTATTTATTCACTACTGTCAACTATTGTTAACCTTTTGAGTTAGACCATTATTAGTCACTAGCGGCAAACTGCTAGCATTCTAGCAATTATCCAATCTTTGGAGAATAAACTCCATACACCTAACACCTACCCACTGTTGCTTCCAGCATCAGTTAATGTGTAGCAAAGACGAGCCATATACACACTGGGACTTCCAGATACGAGCTACCTGTTATACGAGTTTTTCAAATCACAAGTCGAACCTCTCTCTCTCTCTCTCTCTCTCTCTCTCTCATCTAAATCGAGTCACTCCCAGTCCTTCTCCTACACTTAGTGGCCCGACACTCTGTGACTCTGTTCGCTTGGTTATTTTATCAATTTTTATAACAATAACATAAAATGTTTTTATTAATTAGTATTATTTTGTATTATCATTATATTTGTTTGTATTTATGTTTTTGTGGCGCTTTGGCTCAGAGTCAATGTCTCTGTCATTAGTGTGGAACCTCAGGGTTCACCTCCTGGGTAAGATCGAATCCCGGACAGGGTGGTTGGTCCCTTCCAGTGGACTCACCCCCCGCAGGAAGGTTCAGGGGGGTTGGTACGGTGCAGAGTTATTTGGGGGGCGGTCATGGAGACTGCTGCCCCCGCGACCCGGTAACGGATAAGGGGATGAAAATGGATGGATGGGTATATATGTTTTTGATGTTTAGATGGGGGAGAACTTTTAATTGAATTAATTAATAGTATATTTCTGGGGGGCATGAACGAATTAATCGGTTTTTAGTTATTTTTTACTCAAGATATGCAGAACTGAAGAAGTCACTTTCCAGTCGGTTATTTGGCATCACTGCCGTTTGCAGTGAACTGGAGAAAGTCAACTGAATAGAGTGAAATAGAAATTGTGTAAATGAACACGGCCAGTTCTCTCTTTTCCTCTTCAAACAAATATTCCGACATTATGTATGTTCATGTCTCTGACTATAAACCTTTCTAAATGATAAAGGCTTACACACCTTTACTGACCAGGGGTATTGTTATAGCAGCGGACCGACCACGAAATGGAAAACTAAACAGGACATATTCTGTAACTATGATGAATGAAACCACCAACCAGAATCATGGGGTTATTATTTGTCTGATGCAGGACTGTGAAGTCGGTGACTGAAAGAACTCTCGATACAGATGCTGAAAACCAACTTCCTGAACTACATCCACGTCATGGCCCTCTTCCTCTTCGACACCCTGTTGTCGGACGCTCCAGACTCATAACCCTGAGTGCTGCAGGAGCCATTGTGCCTGAGAGGAAGTCCTTACCCTTTCCTTACAGATACAAAGAGAGCCAGTGATGCTGACCCTAGACCCCCCCCCCACCACCACCTCTCTTCTGTTCCTGCTATTTTAAGAATGTGACGCCACAGCTGTGAGTCACCCTGACGCCATACGATGACGCCAACATATTTGTATGTACTTATGAATGTAAAAACACAGATGTGCACAGATATGTGTGTGTGTGACTGTGTGTGTGTCGAAGCCAACTGTTGTGGAGGAGATGGTGGAGGCAGCTGAGGGTAATTAGTACAGTGAAGGCAGCAGAGCCGATAAACGAGGATGTGCGATGAGTAAACGCGGGAGAGGCTTCTGGTGTCACAACAGATGGTTCAGTGTCGCATCTTACTCCTGGTGGTAACTGGCAGACACTCAACCGAGGCAAAATATGATACTGAAATGATCAAAACAGTGTGTTGTACATGTGCAAGTTCCAGGATTAGTTACGCACGTCATTAACCTCACGTTGGGTCAGGATGACCGTTTACACATTTTGGTACACAGAGGCGCTACACACAAACCTATTAGTTGTTGGTTGGAACTCAGTTTTTAGGGAAAAAAAACATTTGATTTTTGTTTATTGGTCACTTCAGGGGCAGCTGCCAAGTTACCACTGAGGTGCTCTGAGCACAGCACCGTCCCCACACACTGCTCAAAAAAAAAAAAAAAGCTGCCACTGTTCACTTTGGTGATGGGTTAAAAACAGAGGTCTCAGTAGGTTGTGTGCAGTGATGAGCTGTGTCACAGTGACAAGGAGTTCACTTTCCTTCAGCTTTGTTGAATTACTTGAACACTTGCACCACCACAAGTGTACAGGCTCCCATGTTGCAGCATCTTTGACATGGAGCTAATTCCATCAATAAACACCATGAAAGGCTTTTGCTACTGGTCAGTAACAACAGAGCACTTTGTGATAAAAGTTTGCTTTAGGAATATTCTGGAAATCAAGAGAGAGGTCAGGAAGTAACGGAGCGTTTGTTTAGTGTAGAGTGAGAACTAAAGGACCAGAGAGTCCACCAACCTCCTTATATTAACACAATGTGTAAGAACTCCACACCAAGTGTTGAACTGTCACTTAGGTGTAAATGTCTGTTTAGGACAAGCAGTGGCTGTTGATTTAGGATGAGATCATTTGTTTACATTTGTTTCCCACATGGGAACAGGACTGAGGTGTCCAAATTCAGTAGAACTAATATAAACATTTGTGGGAAACTCAAATGACTCCAACTCTGAAATCCAGACCTTTTGTAAACATCGACACCAAGCCTAGATTACAGCGCTGAAATGGTAAAGCTGTGTTTTATTGAGGTTTATTGAGGTTTGTATGAAGTTTGGGTTAAACTTACTTTGTGTATCACAGTTAAAATTGTAATGTGTAAAATTACTGCAACTGTCATCACTCTGTCTTTGTCTTTTTGTATTTTATCATCATGTGCACTAGTACATTTCTTTATTACCTCAGCTGTAATACTGTAATAATGTAAGAAATTATACCAGCAAACTGGACTGTATGATGCACAGTGAAACAAAAAGGTGATATCCTTATTTATATAACACTATGATATACTTCACCCAACTTGTACTGTACTTTTGCTGCTGTCAACACTGTCAACCCATTGTGGGAGGAATAAAAAACGTCTTGATCTTAATCTTTACAAATGTTCAATTTGACTTTAGATAGCAAGAGTAGAAGATTATAGTGGGGTTTAGCAAGCAAGCAAAATCCGAGCGTCCTGTTGTGGACAGATGTGGTGATTTTCATCTTACTGGTTGTTACTGCCTCTGTATGTGGGTAGAACACGAGACGAGTCTTATTCTGGTTCTTCACGTCATCAAACACTTAATAATAATCATTAAAAACATCAAATGTCGTGAGACCACTCTGAGTATATGCAGGATTTGTTTGTGCAGAGACACGCTCACACAAATCATTCATTTGAGGATCTCCAAATAGAAGAAGTAACATTTAGAGCCTCACACACTATTGCAGTAGTATACAGGAGGTGAGGGACCAAGGAAAAAGGATGACACAGCATCAGCACATACGTACTACAGAACCATATCAATATCTATGAGGTGGATATGACACTGCAGCTGCAAAGACTCTGGCTAGAATCCAAATCCATTCCAGGAATTAAATGGGAGGAATGGACATAAATTAGCTTCAGCAAGAAAATCCTCTGCATTTAGTAACACATCGAAAAGAAAAGAAAAGTATCTTGTTGTATTTTTCCATTTCCCAATGGTTGACTGCACACAAAAAAGACAAACAAAACAAACAAAACAAAAACAAACAAAAAAAGCTAAACTCCTGCTATAATAAGAAAGAAAAAAAAGTTTTTGCAGACAACATAATCAGGAAGATAAAAGCCTGTCAAAGACACTAATCTCAGAGGAATAGTACACGTTTAACATTACCAGCATAATCTCAGATTCCCTGTTTTTTCCCAGCGCTACTTTGCCTCTTTAATAATGTAATAATTCCATTTGTTTCCGTGTAGTGCAGGAGTCAGTGATGACTTCACTGGAACTATTTCAACCCACGCACAACTGAGCTCTTTTGAGGCACCAAAAGCAGGGGGAGGAGGGAGCAGCAGGGTAGGTTGCACCGACAAAGTGCAGAAGACAAAAAAAACGCACTTCCAGAACTGCGTGACTGTAGAAGCAATCAGAGTAATTCAAATACCCAAGGAATTTTTCATTTGTTTATCCCTGCCACCTCCTGACATGTAGACTTTTACAATGATGTAAGGATTGTCGATTGACATGATCCTACTTATTAATTTAAAAAAAATTACAAGCAAAGAATAAAATGGAAATACAAATTCTCTTTAGTTGAAGGCTGGTTTTTGAATACAAATTCTCTTTAGTTGAAGGCTGTTAAAAATCGTATCAACAGGGATCAAAAACCAACACGACTCATTAAAACAAGAACTCCCTAATGCACAATTCTATCCTCGAACTCAGCGTTAAGAGGGAATTTATGGGGAGCATTAGGTCGGGGGAAAGGTATGCAGGAGCATGTGTGCTGAGGGAACGTTTGGACGGCAGCTCAGAAGAAATCCTAAATGTCGGGCATTTCACACACTGGCTGAAATACAAGTAAGAGTGCCTGGAGGGCTGGTACCAACATGCTGACACACATTTGCTCACAGTGGCTGAATGATCAATTGAAATGTCACTGAAGCTGTCATATAATCAAGTGCACGCTACAGTCCACTAAGTGTCACAACATCACCAGTACAAATAAAGCAGCCAACAAGCCAACGGTTCACATCCTCCAGATGTAAGTGAACATGCTTGTTTATACAGATTAGGGCGGTCACTGTTCATCCCAAGCCTGAACATCTGTTGGAGCATGAGGTAAAAGGTTAAAGCCCAGTTTGAGTGAGCCCTATGCTGCATTCCTTTCAAGAGCAACACAACTGAAAGTCTCTGCAATGACAATTACCAAGAAAATATCTTAGGTTGTCAAAATGAAGGCGTTAACATTTTGAAATGAAGAAGATTAGAATCTTGAACCATGAACAGAATGATGCAGTACCCAATGTTTCCACCGTTTATTCACGTAGTGCTGTTCTAATACATACATCAGCTGGAATGGTACTAACAATGGGCACTAATAAAATCATTTATTTTGGTGTTTCTGTTTTCGGCCTCGGCCAACAATTTTGATTTTGGTGCATCAGTTATTATTATTATCACAGAATTGTCTTGTTGATTTGTCAGGATAATTAATTGTGATCAACCGTGATAGTGAATTATTACAATTAATCATAATAAATCATGCAACCCTGAAATTGAAGAATTTCAATAGAGGTAAATACATACGAATATCTTCGAGTTCACTGTGTAAAGTACTACTTTACAAAGTAATACTTTGTTTAAGGAAAGAGTCCTAAAGCAAACCTGACCAATAATGACTTTCTTTATCACTGTTGTTACTCTGCACACCAAAGCTATTTACCACTCTTACTAACAAGGGTTACACACACACACACAACATTAAATCCTTTCCCCTGTTGATGTAACCTAGTGCAGTCCACCTAGAAACTCTCTATTTCTAAAGTCTCAGCTTTTCACATCCCCTCTAACCTGGGTGGGGTGGACACTGAGCCACGGGCTTATGTCAAGAGGAAGTGTACCATTGTGCTTCTGTTTGCAAAAGTGGAGCTTCATGTTGCCACAATACAGAGAGCGCTCCACTTCATCAACCGCAGCACTGCAGGTGGAGTTCAGAAGACTGCAGGTATGAAGACAGTCAAGTCATTACCCCACTGAGCTGTGTTACACACAAGCCAATTCATTTGTCTGCTACAAATGAAGGTCAAAGAATTGTGTATATTTTAACTAACAGGGTCAGGAATCATTTTCATGCACTTTTCCCACAGGTTTGAAAGCCTGCAGCAGATAAAAACGCAACCTAGTTGAACACTGCGCTCACAATCTCTCAATGTGAATGATTAATTACAAGCAGCGTCCTTGGGGAACTATGCGAGCTTCTCTGAAGAATGAGCGAGCCTCAGTGAGGTCAGAGCTGCACAAGGTACAATCTGTGTGTGTGTGTGTGTGTGTCTGCAGGTGGGTTTATTTGTAAGGAGAGTCACCTTGACTGCGAAGCTGCATTTGCCGCTGCGGACCGCCTCTTCGTCTGTCTGCCACTGGTGCGGCCGACTGGACTCCGGCACGTAGATGTCTTTCTTCCGGCGGAAACTCTGCCGTAGCTTATTCATTACTGAGCTACCTGTGAACAGTGAGAAAGACTTTTTATTCATCACAAAGAACACAGGAAAGTGAAACAACAAGGAAAAAGTTCTAATAAAAACTTGAAACAAGGATCAACAGGCATTTAACAGGTGCATACTCTGCGTCCTGGGTTTCATGATGGAAAAAGTGCCGACTGTGCAAAGCAGTGGGGTTCAACACTGCAGAATACAAGATAAACACAGGTGACAGCCTTGTCTTATATAATTTTACAGCAGTAAATAAACAGTCGACATATTCCAATCCTAGATCCCACTTTAGACTGACTTCTCCGTCCAGACTGTTGTGGGGCAGGGTACCGAACTTTGGTTCTTTTATAGCACCGACCTAAAAAAACGGGTTATCAGAGGTTTGAGTTTCGACCGTCGACACATCAGTCAATGACTCGTTCATACACAGTGAAAACAGTGCCACCAAGAGGGCATATGACAACAACGGCTGTTTTGTAAATAGTTAGCCCCCTGATCAACACGGTGTAATCATTACTGTGAGCTGCTGTCGCTAAGAAACATGATGGAGCAGAATATCTGCAGCAGTGTCCGACTGATACACAGAACACAGCTGCGACGGCTGCTTTGTGATTTGGCTCTTCTTTACCCCACCTGTTTTATCTTTCCTTTACTGACCTCATCTCTTCGCTCCATCTGCTCTTTTATGTTTTAAGCTTTGATTACTTCAGAAAAACTGTTTAACAGCTAATCACACTGTTCAAACTCTTAAGCACTTTGCAGATGCTGTTCAAGGAAAAGCTCCTTGGAAAATGGATCAAAGTCAGCGGATCGGGATCAAACCAGAGTTCCTTTTGCACACACTGTGCTGGTTGGTGATTTAAAGGTTTTAAAAAAAGGAGCTCAATATATGGTGGAAAAATTGATAATGTGGTGGGATGCTGATATGTGCTAAAAATCTAGACATCATTAAAATGGAAACTGTACATCTTCATGTCTTTGGGAGGAAAAAAAGAAGGCACAGAATAAAGGCACAGTGCCAATTAAAAGATGCTGATTCAAAGAAGAACTGAGACCGTGTTTTCTTCATAGGAACTGGTCTATATATCTATGAGCACCACATAAATGGAGACCAGGAATTCTTATGCAAGCAGAGCAGGGTCTTTATGAACAAGTTGTTCATACAAATTGAAGAAGGTCTCAAATGCAAGAGTAAAAACTGTGCACAATAGTATACCATTAAACAGCATTCACAAATATATAAACCTAATTAGCTATAAACAAAATATTCACTCCTTGCAACCCATCGTCCATGAGCCTGTGATGTTTGATAGTGGAAATGAGTCTTATCTGCCCGTGTCAGGCACTATCACGTTGGGCGTCACACAAAGGAGTATTGAGTCCTGTCCTGGCCACAGAAAGACTAAACCAAATTCTGTAAAGGGGTCAAACCAAATTCCTTACTGTCGACAGGACTGTCTTTTCGTATCATTTCAGCCAGACCTGCAAATATGGCTCATAATGAGCTGTTACAATTCATCCTCTTTGTGACAAAGGAGCTGGTCATAACTAACTGGTCAGTCAGCACATGTCTTGCTGATCTTGCAGCTGATCATTTTGCAAATGTGTTCTGTGTCAGAGTACAGTGAAAAAAGCTCACACTTACAAAGTGGAGCTAATGGGTCGTTAGCCAAGAAAGCTCCATGCATGTTCAGCAAAAGTAAGGTTAATTGCTGTGAGCAACCGCAAAGTTGTCTGGAAAAGCAAACCAAATCCAACACTTGCCCGGCTAGACAGTGTTGCCTGCCAGAGGTAGAGGAAAAAAAGAACATTCCTGTCAGGCGATAAAGCTTCTCAATGTCTCTTAAAGTCTAGTCTAGTTTATAAAAGACTGCAAATAATGTAAACTGCAGGTTAAACTAGTGATTGAAGAACAGTAAGATTGACAAATACTGTGTATCGAAAGAAGAAATCCACAAACAGCCCTCTTTCCCAAGTTGCCTTTGGGCAAAGTGCAAAACTTTAGGCTTCAAAACAGCAGTTTTTTTTTATGTTGGATAATATCATAAAAAAAAGGTAGATAATCTGCAACACAGCCAGCAGATAATGCTGAGTAAGTCCTCAAACAGCAATAATGTGAGTTACGATGACGTACAAATAAACCACTGTAGCAATAAAGCTGCACTCACATGCATTTCACTGAGCACACAGGCTCAAAACATTACAGACTGCAGTAGAGTGAAGGGTTTGAAAACAAGTCGAGCGAGTGAGGAGGGGAAAAATACTGCTCCAGCCTTCACTCCCGCTCTCTGCTAACACGCTGGTTTATTTAGGTCATATCATGTTTGGGCTCACTGCAGTGCCAGCGACAGGCTGCATGCACCCAGGCTGCAGCCGGAGAGGAGAGGAGGAGCTGCAGGAAAACAGATTTGTCGGCTCCTCTCCACTCTTGGCTTCAAATCATTACAGTGTTTGTGTCAAATGTGCTGTGTATACATTTGGAGTAAATATTTGAATAATGAAGTCAGTGTTCACATTGTCACACACGAGACACCGCCCAGTGCTGATGTTAAACACACTTTCAGACACAACAGCAACACAGCTTGTGGTTTACTTTTCTCATTTTAGTGCAGAATGATAGTGGAAAACTGTAGTTTCATTAAAGAAGAGCGACACTCACCGTCAGTGCTGACAGGGATTGTTTAGGAAAAACAACAAGTAGTTGCCCAGAAATAAAACCAAATCACAATTGAGCAATAGTCTTTGGAGACTTGGTTTCAATTTGTCTTAGGAACAACCAGAGATTCTGGATTTCTTCCTTTGGCTGCTCCATCCAGGGGTTGCAACAGCATCTGCCTCCAACTAACCATATTCTTTACCTAATCTAATTTTCTGTAAACCATTCCATGTCCTTTAATACAGCCATTCATTTTCTCAATCTCCAGGTTTCTCTCCTAAATCCTCCAAAATGTCTCCAGTCTGTGTCCACAACATGTCCCAATCTTGTCTCTTCAACTGTCTTCTCTCATCGGCTAAACCTTTGCTGTCCATGAAACATGCTTATTTCAAAGCCCACATGATTAATCAGACTTTCCTCCTTATTGTGGTGTAAATGTGCACAATAAAACATCACAATTGTATTTACTTATTTAATTGTCATGATCTATACAGTGTTTGAGAGTAGGGATTCTGTTAAAGCCTCTTTTAACCTGCCTGGTGTGGTAGTCATGCACTTTTATTTTAGAACTGTAGTTTGCTACTCTCATAGGAAGTGTAAAGACCTACTATTACTGTCCCGAGCCTTATCTGAGAGCATCTTACTAAACACACAATCTAAAACACCTGCAGTTAAGACTCTGCCAGCTCACAACCCACATTATCACTTCTCTCTTGGCGACTGCACTTTATAAAACATTAAAGAAATAAAGGAGGCAGAAGTGGAGGAACATATATATATACATATATATATATATATATATACATATATATACACATATATATATTTTTTATTTATATATATATATATATATATGTATATTCAGTGTGATTTTCGTTATCAGCCAAGCAAATGTGTTTTATTCGCTAGTTCTGCCTCCAGTTCACTCTTCTTTTAAACAGGAAGTGGCTTCACTGACTGGTCTGACTGTCTTAAGCCTTGCTTAGGCTGCCCTTTACCTACGTGAATAAGTATGTCCTTTCTAAAAGTGACTGCATACAAACCACAATGTTTGCCTTACGCAATGATTGCTAATCAATTCTTCCACTAAGGGACAGTGCTGAATTCAGATTTAATTTTCAGATTCTCAATGGTGTGTGCAGGAATTAAATGCAGCGCCGCAAGTGGACGGAGATCTTCTTCTCCCTGGTTGTGCCATTTCCCAACGGTTTGGAGTGGCACTGCTTCAGGCCATGCACTGGGGTACCAATCTGCAAGTTCATTACAAACCTACCAAATAAGCAGCCATGAACCCATGAACAGATCAGTGATCGGAATCGTCTCTGACCAGCAACCGATCAGTGCTGGTCAGTGCAAGTTTACCACTAAGTAATATGAGTTGAACGTTCGTGCAGAGTTCACCTGTGTGGTGCAGTATGTGGGAAATGTTAAACAATTACTTGGTATGAGAATACAAATTTTGACCTGAAGAATACTCCTTTTTGTACATCAAACTCAACTGAAAGAAATTGGTAAAAGGCTCCATACGCATACTGAGCATGAACTAGGCTATATGTGGCACACAGAACACATTGTAAGGCTTTATTTGTCTGGGCTATTATTGTGGCACACTCCAAACAGATGGCTAAGACTTACTTTTTTATTAAAGGTGGAGACAACTAAAGGTGTAACACATTTTCTAAAAGCTGCTTTCAGCACTATTCTTTGTAACTCAAGTCCATGTGCAGAGGGATAAAAATAGGATCAGGTCTTGTTACAGTGATATAAAATGAACAACAATCCCCTGAATTGCACCAATAGCCAATTTCTGATAGAAAGTGTGTGTTTCATTGAAACGTGCAGTTGTCCAACCTTGCAGAATTGTATTGTGTTGTCAGTTATCTGCTTTGCAGATGCTGCGTAGGACACAACACAACAGATGTTGACACTACTTTCCAAATTGCATGATGCACATATTTCAGCACAGGTCGTTGCCAAACTAATTATAATCACATGTCTAGTCTTACACACAGCAGCGTCGAAGCTCTTGGTTCTTTCCGTAGCCTATAAGGAACACCGAGCGGTAAGAAACACTTGAGGTGTGCACATCAACATAGACAAAATAAATGAGCCCGTAAAGACGCGTGGGTAAAAGGAAAGAAAACCAAATTCAGACAACATTCTCTTTCTCTCTGTATGTGTATATAATATGTGCTGTTGCTTCTGAATGAAGGCCAAAAAAGAGCAAAGTCTGGCTGAGTTATCCTGCTGCACAGGACTCAAGTAGTGGGTCATGTGGAAAATAAAATTCAGGGAAAAACTGAAATGAGTGAAAGAAAGTGGACTGTTTTTATTTCCTCTCATTTAAGAAAAAAA